AGTACTGGGAGAAACAAGAAAAGTTATTTTTCTCTAATCCAGTGTCTCAGGCAGAACCTAATTTTCCTATGTTTATTTCTGGGAATTTTAACAGAATAAGAGAAACTTTTTTTTAAAGTAAAGGATATGAAAAGATATCAAACTTTTTAAAAAATGACACATAATTGTACATATTTATGAGGTACAATTTGATGTTTCAATGCATATATTTTAGATAATGATCAAATCAGCATACTTAGGGGGCTGGCCAGTTAGCTCAGTGGACTAGAGCATGGTGTTATACCACCAAGGTTAAGGGTTTGGATTCCCATCCGGGCCAGCTGCCAAAAAAAAAAAAAACAGTGTATTTAGCGTATCTATCCCCTCATGCATTTATCATTTCTTTACAGTGAGAATACTCAAAATCCTTTCTTCTAGATGTTTTCTTATAAGGCTGTGCTCTAACCAACTGAGCTAACCTGCCAGCCCTCTTCTAGCTGTTTTGTAATATACAACATCTTACTGTTAACCATTTTCACCCTACTGTGCAACAGAACAGCAGAACTTACTCCCCCCATCTAATTGTACCTTTTTCCCTGTTGACAAAACTCCTACCCCACCCACAGCCCAGTCTGTGGTAACCACTCTCTGCTTCTATGATATCAACTTTTTCTTTTTCTTTTCTTTTTTTTTAGATTCCACATATGAGTGAGATCATGCAGCATTTGTCCTTCTGTGTCTGGTTTACTTTACTTAACATGATGTCCTCCAGGTCCATCCACATCATCAAAATTGAGAAAGGAGCCAAGAATACACATTGGGGGAGAAGACAATCTCTTCAATAAATGATGCTGGGAAAATTGGATATCCACATGCAGAAGATTGAGACAAGACCCCTACCTGTCACCATACACAAAAATTAATTTTAAAATGGATTAAAGACCTAAATAAAACCCAAAACTATAAAACTACTAGAAGAAAACATAACAGAAATGCTTGATGACATTAGGCTGGGCAAAGATTTTTAAAATAAGACCTCAAAAGCACAGGCAATAAAAGCAAAAATAGACAAATGGGATTAAATCAAACTAAAAATCTTCTGCACAGCAAAGTAAACAATCAATAGAGTAAAGAGACAACTTACAGAAGGGGAGAAAATATTTGCAAACTATACATTTAAAAAGGGGTTAATATCTGGAATATATAAGGAACTTAACAACAACAACAAAAACCTGACTAAAAAATGAGCAGAAGACCTCAATACTTCTCAAAGGGAAACAGTTTTGGGGGTGTTTTTTGGTTTTTTTACTCAATTGCAGTTTAACTTTTCTATGTACAGCTTTCCCATTTTATATTTCTGTTTCCTCTCCCTTGGGAAATCCTTGAGCTTAGAACTATATCTTTAACAATAACTTTCAGTTTGAGCTCAGTATAATGCAGGAGCCATAAGAAGCAGTTGACAAAATGACCTTCTTAAAGGTATAAATCCAGTAATGTTTGCTCACAAACAGAAAAGATAATGTACAACCCACCCAAAAATTACCCCCTTGGGATTCAAGCGATTGAAGCAAACAGTTCTTTAGCAAGATGTAAGCTGCAGAAGTGAAAAGAGGAGATTCCTGTTCAACATTAGATCTGGAAAGTTTAAATTGAAGGAAGAGAAAATATTTTACACACTCAATTAACACTAAAGAATTAGATTAGACTCAATAAAGCTAACTATTCTATTCACCAATTAATTATGCAGTATAACGGAAATCAAGAATAGCACGGATGCAGTAAATCTACAAATAGTTCAAATATCTCATTTTTGTCACTAATTTCTTTTTCTAGAGATACTAATGCATCAGAAATTAAGCTTTTTGAATTCTATATCCTTTATTTTCATTTTTTGATTTTTTTTTTTTCTTTCTTTCTTTCTTTATTGTGTCTCTATCTCCTGTAACACTCTCACTGTTTTCCCTCTGGGGATACACAAATGAAGAACAAATGCGGACACAACTAGAGGAAGGAGAAAACAAGGTAATTATCTCTTATGTACTTCTGAATTAATTTATATTTTGTTAAAAGCCAATTGTATAAGTTTACTGCAAATGAAATGTAGGTGTTTTAGTCAAAGTTTCACTGAGAAGATGACAAAATTCAAATTCTTATTACAAATCACCTCAAAACTGAAACTAGCTAAAATTAAACACAGCAATAGATTCTAGTGGTAAGGCATGGATTTTGTAGACAAGAATATTTGGTTCATACCTACTAACTATGACCTTGTTTAAGTTATTTACCTTCCCTGGGGCTCGGTTTCCTTATATATAAATGGAAATAACATCCAACTCACAGAGTGTCACAAAGACTAAAAGAGCTAACACATATCAAGCTCTTAATACAGTCAACCCTCAGTAAATTGTAACTTCATTATTATTAATTAGGCACTTTGAAAAAAAAGGATTTGTTCAATTTGATAAGTAAATAGTATTTTCTTTCTTTTTCTTGCCGGTGATTTTTCTTTTTAAAAATATAAGCCACCTGTAGTGGATTAAATTATGTCCCCCCAAAACTCATTGAAGCTTGAATTATGTCCCCCAAATTTTATGTATTAGAAACTTTGTCCCCACTGTGACTATAAAGAGGGTGGGAAATCCTATTACGGTAATTGTAAAGTGGGACCTTGAAGAGATGATTAGATTATAGGGCCAGGCAGTGGTGAGTAGATTAAAAATGGTGGTCAGGGGCGTGGTTCTGAGGCTTTAAAAGAAGAGGAGAGTCTGTTCCTTTCTGTCTGTTCTCTCTGCTTCAACCATCTTGCAATTATATGAGACTCCTGAGTCACTGTTGCCACCACCAGATGGACTTTGTACTTCCCAGCCTCAAAAACTGTAAGCAACAAATGCTGTTTTTCTATATAAATCACCCAGTCTCAGGTATTTTCTTAAAAGCAACAAAAATGGACAAATACACCACCAATATTTTAAGAAAAAATTTTAAACAAAAGTTGCATATTAATATTATAAACAAACTGAAACATAAGTGACTTTTAGCATATAAACTCAAATAGTTACACCCTTAGAACAATTTCCACTTAATAAACGAAAGTTTTAAAGTACCTAAAAGCATTAATGTTCTCTGTAAAACTACAGTTAAAACATTAATTTGCTACAAGCATATAAAAACATCAAGTGCTTTCTTGGAGTTTCAGCTTACCTCTCTAAAACGTGATCTTGCTTGCATAATAAAGTTCTTTGCCAATAATCAATCTGGACTTTTTTTTTTTTCTAAAGAAGTTTATTTTCCAGGTACCTCATAAGCTCCAGAAAACTATTTTCTTATCTCCCCAGCTACTAATCTGTTTACTTGCTATGTTATTAGAACTGGCTACATAATTTGTGGGGCCCAATGAAAATGAAAATGTTGGACCTCTTGTTAAAAAACAAACTGAGACTTTCAAGAGAGCGACAGCGCAGCAGTAAGTCCGGTGTGAGGCCCTTCTGAGTACGGACCCTGTGCAACTGCACAGGTCACACGCCTGTGACTTAGGAAGAGGCCAATTTCCACGGCTAATTCACCCAATTTTGCAATTTCTTTTTTTTTTTTTTTTTTCTTTTGTCTTTTTCCGTGTCCGGCAACGGATCACAACCCTCAGTGTTGCCCCCGTACCGGACCGGGGACCGGCAACGGGATCGCAACCCTCGGCGTTGCTCCCGCGCCTCGCTCAACCAGTGAGCGGGAACCGGTCTGCATGTGGGATCCGAACCCTCGGGCGGGAGCGCCGCCGCGCTTCCCAAGCGGTGCACTATCCAGTGCGCCACCGGGCCGGCCCCAATTTTGCAATTTCTTAAAGGGAGATAAGTAATGTGCATAACCCATGACTTTGAAAAGGACTTTGAAAATATTAAGCATGTATATACAGGATTCCTTCATCACTTGTGGATTCTGTGTTTGCAAATTTGCCTACTTGCTAAAATTTATTTGTTACCCCAAAATGAATACTTGTTGCGCTTTCACTGTCATTCAAGGACAGGTGCAGTGTGGCAAAAAATGAGTCTCCTGATGTGACTTGCACGTTCCTGGCTGAGCTCGAACGAAGCTACTTTTTGCCTTTTTCCAGCTCTCATGCTGTAAACGTATCCTTTCTGCAGTCTCTTTAGTATCACATTTTTGTGGGTTTTGTTAATTTCGCTATTTAAAATGGCCCTCAAGTATAGTTCTGAAGTGCCATCAAGTGTTCCTCGGTACACGATGTGCATGTGGAGCAAATACATGTGTTAGACAAGCTTTGTTTAGGCATGAGCTATAGCGCTGTTAGCTGTGAGTTCGTGTGTTCAAATAATCAATTATTAATGAATCAACATATACTACATAAGATGTCTTCAAACAGAAACATACATAGAATAAGGTTATGTATTGATTGGTTGACAAAAATGTAGTGGGCAGACGTTTGCGGGAACCTACTTTTCTTAGGAGCAACAGCTCAGTATTTGCTAATTCAGGGTTTGTGGTGACTACAGAACATAACTACCACAATAACAAGCATTGACTGTATATACACAGAAAATATATTACTGTTTCTATTGATATATTACTATAATTTACCTTTAACACACAGCAACTCAAAGCCTATTCCAAGTCCACTGGTGTGGATCAGCCACTGGGAAGCTACCGTGGTGATGGAAGGTTCTGATCTGTGCCATTCCACTCTATTCTATCCCTGGAGCCCAGGCTAAGGTTCTGTGAGATGTTTTCAAGTCAGAGCCTATTTATTTACCAGCCATGTGTCCTTGGATAAATTACTCGACTCCTCTTCATATCAGTTCCTTCATCTGTAAAATGGGAATAAAGACACATATTTCATTAAGTTGTGTGTGTATGTGTATGGTCGGTGACAGGAAGGAAGTTGGAATTAAGTGAGATATGCATGTAAAGCTGTTTGCATTGCACCTGCCATCAATTTATTACATATACTGATATTTCTTGAGTACCTATACTGTGCCTGGTACTCTCATGGCTACTGGGGACAAATGGGTATTAGCCCCCATGGAGAAGGGTTCGAATCTAAGGGTTCATTGTAAGTACTTAGTAAATGGTAGCTATTTTTGTTGATTTTATTAAAACTTCACATTCTAAATGGGGAATTATTTTATTCGTATATCTATTTTCTCAGAAGGGGCGATCTACTTTTTAAAAAATCTTCAGAAATATTTCAGACATACAGAAGTCATTATTTATCTCTTTACATGATCTAGTGATAGAAGAAAGAAGATTGGTATTGAAGATAGCAGTTCACAATGCCAGAGAAATCAATTCCCTCAAGTGAAGGGACAGCAAAAGCACCCTAACCACCCAACTCTGAAGACACTGGGTTGCAGTAGCTATGGAGATCAATGCAGGGCAGCTGCAAAGGATAGGATATGGTTTCATTGTTGTTGTGGTTTTTTTTTTTCAACAAAGCTTCCTAGAAAATGCAAAAGGCTTACCAAAAGACCTAATCAGTTGGGCATAACCCTAGAACCTGAGGGCCTGGGGCTACATACAAATTCCCCCTTCATAGAGTGCAACGTGAAGGAAGATTTCTACACCTGTGAACTTCAACATCCTTAGCTGTAAAACGGGGCTAATATTAGTATAGAGCTGTTATAAGGATTAAATAAGATAGTAGCTGAAAAGACGTTACGCGTTATAAGTTTTTCTAAAATGTATACTATTAGATTAGATTATTCAGAAAGTTATGTGTGTTGTGCCCAAGAGTAAAACTATATCATTTTACAAGGCGATAATTTGTTGCATAAGAACTCCAATTTGTATAATTCTTAAGCAAACAATTTTCCCTTGCTCAGAGATTATTCTCTCAGCAGGGATTCCAGGCTGCATTCTAAGGCTACTCCTATCTCCATTTTCTGGACTTGCTCTGGTTTGCTACCACTTCTAACCTTACCCAGGTCTTACTTCATTCCCTCTCTAAGGTTATAAGATACAAAATGAGGCATGTACTATTGTGGCCAACTACGTAAAGTTGAATTTAAACTGTTTGGTTATATTTCGGGGGAGAGAGGGCATGATCTAACTTGTGATATAAATTTTAAAATTTGCAATAATGGAGCTGGCCATTTTCTTAATATTAGTCACTGTCCTCAAAAGCGTTTACTGAGTTAAGTGCAAGTGGTTCTGTATGGCATGAACTGCTAAGTAAAAAGCTATTCTAGGTACTGAGGGTGTTATAAAATAAGATATAAGATCCAGTCCCTGGCTTCAAGAAGCTCAGATCTAGATAAGGAATAGAATATGTAAAGGAAGAGTTAAGAAACATTGCCAGGAAGAGTTCAGCAAGTAGCCTTGATAGTGCTATCAGGGTCAGAAGAGGCAGAGGTCTCTTGGACTCCAAGCATGGAGATAGGCCTAGGAAGGAGGTAGGAATTGAGCTGGCCTGGACCGTAAAGGATTGGTAAAATTTGGATAAACTGAGAGAGAGTGGTAGAGCATTTCCTAGCAGATTTTAAGGAAAACTGTGTGAAAAACATGCACATGGCATCCTGTAGGCATGGAGTGGACCAGTGTGGTACAATTTCATCTCTGTCTGCCAAGCCTCTTCAGCTGTAGGTATTATAGTCTCCAGTCTGCTCCCTGAGCCACATCCAGCTCCTCCACCTACCCTGACCAAAGAGGTGGTGCATTAGCAGCCTCACACTCCTAAACCTGGAGATCAGGAATTAGTCTTGCTATGGTAGCAAATAAATATCTACTACCGTACTAATAATATTCATTCATTCATTGAATATTTATTGAGCACTATTTCCAGATATAATGCTTAGGGGCAGGAGATTCAAAGACGACTTATTTGCTGCCCCCAGGAAGTTTATAGTTTTGCAGGGGAAACAAATGCACAATGTTAATGATAAAGATAGTATTGTAAATACAATGATGGGATACAGTACAGAAGAGGTACACACACAGTTAATTTGCATATGTTTCCTTGTGAGCTGCCTCAAATCATTTTAAACAACTCAGAGTGTATAAACATACCTACTCTCTTGTAATTGTTACACTAGTAGTTCACTAAAATTCTTGTTGGAATAATGTAGGACACAATAAATCACAAATAAATATATATTATGTATTATATTGCCTACTAATAGGTTATCTTTGTCTTGTCTCTTTTCTACCTCAAATTCATCTTGCACACCAAAATAGTATTTTGATCATTCTACCTCTCCAGTCAAGAACTTTCAATGGTTCCTTAATGTTTAGATAACAAAGATGAGGTTCCTTAATTTGAAATTCAAGGCCTCACACAATCTGGCCCCGGACTTCCTTCTTTCCTTTGTAGCCATACCAGTTTCCCCCAAATGTCATTCCGATTCCTACCTTATGTGCCTTTTCTCACCATCTGGAGTGTCTTCCTCTTCTCCAACAATGTGAACCTATTTTCAAATATTTTTTTTTTGTCCTTTTTGAGACCGGCCCCACCACGCTCAGCCAGTGAGCGCACCGGTCATCCCTATATAGGATCCGAACCCGTGGCGGGAGCACTGCTGCGCTCCCAGCACCACACTCTCCCGAGTGCACCACGGGCTCGGCCCAATGTGAACCTATTTTGTTTCCCACTACTCCTCCCAAACTTTATTGGCTGGTCTAGCTCAAGGTAAAATAATGCAGTATGTGATGTTTATTACTGACTCTACTTTGTTACAACTGAGTCCCCAGCCCCGCCACCATCACCACACCCCCTCCCTCCCAAAGCTGCAGGGACCTTATAGCCCTTGGTCCCTCATCTTCACCATGGAAAGGAGGTGTGCAAGTGCATGCGGTGTGTACGTACATGTGCACATGCACAAGTTGACCATTGCTTATCAACTCAGACTTGCTCCACTTCACCCTCTACGTTCATTTCAGACCTGTGCTCTCACTTAATTGCTTTCTGGGCTTCATACCTGTTCTCTCCTTCTTTGCCTAGACCTCTTTGGATTAGGAGCATGACTTCTTGTGGTCTGGCTCCATCTGGCACTTGCTCTAAAGACAGTTTTCAGGAGCTATTAGTTTGCTCCACTCTAAGCATATACAACCCTTAAGATTCCTCTGGAGTAGATGCTCTGGACTGGCCAGGGATGGAGGAAGACTGGAGGTCTCTTTTTGTTGGCCCAATCCCTTCATCATGGTTTCAGTAAATGATTTCCAAAGTAGTGAATCAATAGGAAACACATAAAGAGGTTGCACAGTCTCTTTAGTGTAAATCTGGCAATGAGGGTATCAGTTGCTATAGGTAGGAGGTGTGAGCAGAGGCAGATTTAACAAAAAGTTAATATGGCTTAAGCTTGGGGGTCTCTTTGAAGGTCTTGTGTATCTTTTTGTATTTTAATTTTGAGATCAGTTTCTTAAAGAAACCCCCTCCCCTCAAGGTGATTAAGCCTCAGGCTCTAAAAACCTGTATCAACCCCTAGGGTGGGAAGGTGAGGATAGAGTGTACGTTTCAATCAATTCAAATTAAGCAATTACAAATTATATTTAAAAATTGTAAGAGAAGGTGTGGGTTTTTTAATTGCTAGTACTTCAGAACGGGCTTTTTGTGCTAACTTGTGATTTGGGAGGAATTAACTTGGAAATATGATCCTCAGGTCCCAGGTCCTTGTGTAGGACCTCTGGTCATAAACTCAACCAAACTGAGATAGTAAATCTCTTCTCTTGGTTTGATAAATGACTTTAGAAGAAAATGAAGAAAATCAAACTTACAATACTACAATACTTATAGTAATGGTTTTGTAATCATCATAATAATTAGTGCGTTTTGTTATTCAAGATGTTTGAGCATTTAAGAGACCCTGGTATATTAGAGAATCTGACCTAATAAACTTGTGACTTTGTATTTAATTTCACTTGTGGTATTTTTATTTGACAGGTCTGAAAGAGTTTGCTTATGAACATTATTTCACTGTTTAAGAAAATCTGTTTTAATCTAAAAGTTCTGACTTACTAAGTTTCTCAGTAGTGTTTTAAGTGTCTTGGATGGTTTGTTTCAGATTTTTAGCAGTGGTGTACTGGTAAATGTAGCAGTAGCCAATTTCCATTATATAAATACTCCCATTATGGCTGATTTAAGGTTACCAAACAGTGGTGTCACTGAAGCTGAAGTTGGGAAAAGATGCGTTCAATCAGCTTTCCCAAGCTCTGCCAAGCCTGTGCAAGCTGGCTTTAGCACACCACTGCCTGCAAGTCTGCCTTTTTATAAATTAGATGTCATATTTCAGAATGACTAGGGGAATACAAATATATGTATTTAAGTTTAAATAGTATTAAAATGTTTAGAGGAATTTGAAATTCGTGAGATCTGCAATTTAATCAGATTTTAAATAAAAAGTTTTATAAGTTTTTTAAATCAAAGATTTGTAAATAAAATACCAAAATTTGTGTATAAAGTTTATAAGCTTTCTAAAATAAAGGATTTGAAATTAATAACTTTAATTTAAATAGTAATTTAAACTAAGTAACCATGTTTTCTTTTTTATTCTCTTGTGCACAAAAGCCTCCCACAGCAAGCAGCCAGGGGTAAATGTGTGAACTGAAACCTCAGGTTATCTTGCTTCCTTTTTATAAAATTTGTCATTCTGAATATCACCATCTTTAAGGCCAACATGTCAACCAACTAATCTGATAAATTAATTCAGGCCAAAAGGATTAGTAACAAGATATAGTGTGGACAATTTAGTTGTCATTTGACATTGGTTATACTTTAATCACTCAGTAGGCAAATTTTAAGCCAGACAGGAAAGTCAGGATCTGCCTTAGCAAATTCTTGGAGATGTTTTAGGGCAGGAGGTTTTGTCCACTACAGAATTAAATCCCTAGCATATTTACACAATAATGTACACATAGCTTCCACCATCTTTCTGTGTCACCAAAATGGAATGCATGAATGCCAAAAAGAGACCCAAATGCCAGGTTCTAACTGCGATGGTGAAGCATGGTTATGTTGGCAAATTCAAAGTTCCTGATGATCGCAGAGCAGGGTAAATTGTTGTGAACTCATAGGCAAGTTAAACAAGTATGGAGTGATCAGCCCTAGATTTGATATCTATAAAAAGGGCAGAATAATCTGCTCCCATCCTGTCAGTTTGGTTTCATTGTACTGAAGACTTCAATTGGCATCATGGACCAAGAGAAAACAACACAAAAACAAACAGGAGGGAAAATTCTGGGGCTCTTTTTCTAGGGGTGTAATAAATACATACAAATAAAATCTCTCAATGGGGATTAGAAAAGTACGCATGGAAGGATTATTATTTCCAGCCTTCTTCTCCACCCCTCTATATCCAACTTGATCTTTCCACTGAGTAGAACAGTATAGCCTCTGCTGCTCAGGTGGACAGAGTATAGTGATAATGAGACTGCCAAGATCTGCCCACCTCGCCATGAAACATCATGGGTTGTACACCTGACAGCATTGTTCTGGTTTGCATTTTATCCTCTGCAGTCCTTAGACTATAGGAAACCTTTGCTCAGGGACAGCCACATCACTCCTAATAGTGTCTTGGACCTTGGCTCCTGGATGCTGTTCAGATCTCATCTTCCTGAACTGTTCCTTTTCAAATTTCTCCAACGTGGCATTCCACACCCATAATGTAGCTCAATGTCATGCTGACGCCTGGTCAAGTGATGCTCCCAGTAATGTCCTTTTTGACAGATTAACATTCCTGTTAAGTTACACATCCAAACATATGACATAAAGTATGACTCATGCCTAAACTGGTTAATAAGTATCTACCACTGAAGCCTCAAGAGAGAAGACAAGGTTAAGGAATTAAAATGATTCCTTCAAAGGGATACCGCTGAGTTTTCACTTTTTCCATACTCCATTCTTTATGGAACTTAGTTGAAATAGGCATATGAATTTTGTCTAATTCTTTCATTAGAAATATCCTACTTTACTTTTCACAAATCATAACAAGTTAAAGTCAGAAGAACTCTTAGATCTCACATAGCTCAATTTTCCATGGAAATTAGGAATCCTATCCACAACATACCTGTTCTGACACAGATGATCATTTCATTGTGTCTAATCGTGACATGGTGGTCCATTCAACTGTTGATCACATCTAGTGATAAGAAAGGTATCTTCTGTTAGACCAGGGGTATCCAGGATATGCCACTACATGCTGCCTTTTAGCTGTGCCCTAAGAACACCCTCCACAGATGGGCTCTACAGTTATAAATTCAGTCTGAAAGAGCTTGGAGTAACTCCAGCACAATCCAAGCAGGCTAAAATAGACAAGATGGGGTCAAATCTAAGATAACACGAGAACAACAAATGACTATGAGAAACATAAAGATACAAGTCAATCATAAGGGGATGGTAATATTTACTGAGTATCAGTATAGATCAGAGGTCAGGCACCATTTAAGTGCTTTGTATTTACTAGTAATTTGTTTCTTACAATAATCTCATGAAGAATATTGTCCTAATTTTGCAGCTGCACACACACACACACACACACACACACACACACACACACACAGTAAGTAGCCCAAGACACACAGCTAGTGAGTGAAAGAGCTAGGATTTGAAACCAGGGCAATTGGCTCCAGAGCCTGAACCCTGAACCACTACACTAGATCACCTTACTAGCTGTAACTGAGAATGCCTACCACTACCACGTACCAGGCATTGTTCAATCATTTAATCCTCATAATAATCCTAAGAAGCAGGATTCTGCTACCCTGTTATAGAACAGCTAAGTAACTTGCCCAAGGTCACAAGGCTAGTGAGTACTGAAATTGGGATTCAAACCCAGGTAGCCTGTCTCTACATCTGAGGCCCTTCCTCACTACTGTTGATCCCTTTGGTGGTATGCTTCATGTAGATGGTGACAGTGTCAGATACAGAGCTCTGTCATGTACAGGGAAGGCACATGATAGGCAGGCAAAAGCAGGATAGGCGCCAGTTAGTAAAAAATGTGGAGGAAAAATAGGAGCTGATTAGTTCCAGGATAACCAGGGAACTTCCAACCTAATCTTCCTGCTCAGGATATGGAGAAGACAAATGATCTCTAAACAGAAGGTGCCTAAACAATCAGAAAGAATGGCTTCCCTGTAGTACATTCAGAAAGCTGTCCCATGCAGAGAGGAAAGTTACCTATCAGACTGGGCAGAAGACAATCATCAACACCTACTGGATTATGCACAATGAGATCTAATGTAATTTGCCAGTTTCTGGTTCCAGGAAGGGTGTGGGAAGTCTGCAGATACCTGAATGTTTACTTTGAACATCTGCACTGGAATTATGACTGGGGCAAGCTAAGAAAGGTCCATTTAAAATCCAATCCACTGGATTCCCTTTCTGATCAGCTTTTCTGTGAGCTTTATAGAAGACTCCATAGTACATGAAAGTATTTTTTAAAATGCCTGTGAACACTGAATAATAAATTATGCTGAACATTAAGCAATACAACATGTTCATTTTCCAGAAATCCACTATATAAACTTCTTAACTAAGGCGGAAGTTCTCTGGATTCCAAATTTGGTTATTTTTGTTGTTGTTCATTCAGAGAACATCAGTCAGTAATCCAAATCTCTATATCGATGTTTTAAAAAATCATGTTTGTAGCGGAAGTTTACAAGACTTTTTTTTATAGAAATGGATTTGTTTAGGGCCGGCCCGGTGGCGCACTGGATAGTGCGCCGTTTGGGAAGCACGGCGGCGCTCCCGTCCGAGGGTTCGGATCCCACGTGTAGACCGGTTCCCGCTCACTGGCTGAGCGAGGTGCGGGCGCAGCACCGAGGGTTGCGATCCTGTTGCCGTCCCGGTCCGGTATGGGTGCGACACTGAGGGTTGCGGACCACTGGCCG